ACCGTATCATCATTTTGTTCTTTTATAAAATGCTAGATGCAAAAGCCCTGTCACCAAATTAGAGATCATTTAACTTACTAATAATGAGATTTTTCTGACACTCTGATGTCCCATCAAATGCCAGTGACGACATTATCGCCATGAGAACACGATGGTAAAACCACAGCAACAAAAGTGGCTTTACCATTCCACCCCGAGCTAGCGACGTTCTCGCCGGGAGACACGCATCTTCCAAAGAAGGCAGAAATGCCCAGACAGCCTTGATGTTCAACTTTCCGCTCTCCATAAAGCTCAGAGGACCATCTCTTACTCATGATTGCTCTGTTCACTTAATTCCCTAAGCCGGGCAAGTTCAGCCAGTTTTCACACCCTTCACCCACAGAATTACCTCTGAGCCCCCGACATTTGGAATGGACAAATATGAATAACTACTGCAGGAATTCTTGAATAAATAAATAAAATGGCTCCAAATATTTAGCAACCACTCCGTGTCAGTACCCCAGGCCTCACGCAGGTTGTCAGGGCACAACCCTACAACACAGCAAAACACACGCCCCACACTCCCTCCGCCAGTCGTTGATGCCCTGCCTTCGGCACATTCCTGAGCATGACAGGTATGTTTTATGATGGCTTAAAATACACATGCTAGTAGAGACGTTGGCTTGGTAAAATATATTAACATTTCTAAATCACTTTATGTTGGCAGAGTATCATGTTTACCTCCAAGGTAGGCCAACCTGATGGTCTGATATCTACAAAAAGAAATATAGAGGGACCCACCCAAAACAGGGAAAAAAAAGGGCCAGAATTTAAATACAGAGCCCTTACGAATTTATCGCTCACGTGTTCCCTCAACTTGTTGAAACACAGAGCACAAAACACCAAGATTCAATTCCTACATGAGCCAGGGAGCCTCAAACGGAGAAAAATATTTGCTCTGTGGGCACGAGGCACATCTCAAATGCTGGGCCAGGCACTTTACCTTTGGGTGTGTCTCATCTTAAACACCTATGAAGGAATGTGGCTGGCTCGGTGCACATTTAGCCCAGCCACTATTAAAAACAACCCCTGCTACCTATTCCACAGGACACCATGCGTAATGCACACTTAGTGAAATAAAAAGTAAGCTGCCCCACAACGTAGATAGATGATCACAGCTTTTATAATAAATAAACAAAAACACACAAACACATGGGAAAGAATGTAAGTTCACCAAAATGATTCACTGTTATCTCAGGGCTACATAGCAATGATTTAAATAGGACCCTCGCTTTATACTTCACAGATGTTTACACTGTTCTAACATTTTACAGCTGTTTTATATAATTTTTGCAAATAAAGGTTCATGTAAAGTACATCAGCTACTGGAAACGGGTGGCTCAGGAACAGCATCATCTATCTGACAACGTGGCAATACCCCGCCTACAAAATACCTGTTTTAAGTTTTTAAAAACGTTTTAAATCTTCAATTTGCAAGAAACTTCCCTGGTAAGGTATCAACAAAAAAAAGTTACAAGAAGACTGGTCTGGTCCTTCTAAAGATCAATGTTACAAAACAAACAAACAAACAAAAAACGGACAAGTGGGACTAGAAAGGGATTGCTCCAAAGCAAAGGGGATTTAGGAGTCATAAAAACAACACACCACGTGTGACCCTTCATCAAACCCGGCTTTGAAAAAAAAAAAGCTGTAAAAGCATGGATGATCAAGGAAATCCAAACTAGAGAACAGAAATTAGATGACATTAATGTATTACTACTGTTCATTGTCTTCTGCTTTGGGTAGTGGAATTGTGGTTACGTAGGAGAATGGCTTTAAGAGATGCCGGTGGTTGTATTTAGGGGTAAAATTGTCATGATGCCCGTAACTTACTTAGAAATGATGAAAAAACAACACATATATACACACATAAGCACATACACAAATTCAGAGTTGAAACAGGTGTGTGTACTGGTATTCATCTCACTATTCTTTTAGCTAGTCTGTATACCTAAAAATGTTCATAATCAAAAGATTTAAAAAAAAAAAAAAAAAGGCTACCCTCGATGCAGGCTCCAACCACACTTACTCCTTATGGCTTTTTCTAAATGGTGCCACCTCTTACAATGGACTTCTCTGATCCTTTTCTTTGCCTGAACTCTCAGTCATCTGTGCTTTTTTTTTTTTTTTTAATATACCAGTCTATGTTAGAAGTATCAGCACATTTTGACTCTAAACTTCTCCATCTTTAAAACACAAAATATTTACCCAAATTAAAAGCTCATGGCATTTACACCCAGAACTTGTGTGGTCACAGAGCTATGCTGCTGGGAAAAAAACTTCCAGGCACTCATTTAAGACATTCCTTAACTTTAAGAAGGGCTACACCTAAATTATCCCAGGTAAACAACCTGTTTGACACTAACCTGTAACAGTAGGGTTAGAGAAAATGATCTCTTAGTCCCTTTCGGTTTTAACATTTTAAGAGTCTATGAATTAATAACCTGCCATGTTTAAGCTCTTGAAGAATCCACAGCATGTGTGTCACCAAGACACCTTTTAAGTATCCACAGCATATAGTTCTCCCTTAAACATAAGCCAGCTCCATGCTGTATTTTAAACCCAATTCCTCTGCTTTGCCGTTGGTAGAGCAAGGATTACAATATCTCATTATCACATAATAGAATTGACTGTGAGTCTATACAAGTTCTGGTAAAATAGTTTGGCTCCTGGCACCCTTCTGGCTCTCTCAATGTGGTTCTCTGTGGCCTCATCAATATTATAAAACCTAGAACTAACTAAATGCCATATTCGCATAGAAAAGTCATATGTTTATGACCCTTTAGGTTTTCCTGATGAAACTGACTTTTCAAAAGAGATCAAGGTAGGCAATCATCATCCTATTTACTATAAGGTTTTTTGTTGTTGTTGTTGTTTTTTCATGTAAAGTGCCTTTTAAAATAGTCACTTAAAATACAGAATTTTATTTACTCTTCAGGAACACATCTGGTAAATAATATCAAGCTGCAACTGTTGCTGAAACCATGGAAGTTAAAACAAGTCTTTTTTGGTTAATATAGACAGTAAAACAATACTGACTCGTGATTTATTCTAATTTCAAAACAATCTATTAATCCTCTTTTTCTTAGGTGCATCTTAGAAAGAAAAGGAGCATCGGATAAGAGAGTTGGATCCTATATCCCTTTAGTGATGAGAGTAATTGAAAATAAGAAGCGAAGGTGAAAAAAATGACAGGGGAAGTGCCACAGAAGCTCTGAGCTCTCTAGCTCCAGGGTCTTTGTCTCAGTAAAGCAAATGGCAAGTGAATGTGAAAGACTCCACTGAGGAGACACTTGACAGGAAACTGTGGCTGACCTGAGTGGTTCAAAGAACTAAAGTTTACTCTTAGAAGAACATGGACGAGCCTCCAAGCAAGAATCGGTTTTAACCAGAGAGGCCTGGGGTCAATGCTAAGCCATTTGTCCTCTCTCAGCCTCAGTTTACTCATCTATAAAAATAGTATCTACTCTACCTGTTTGTGAGAAGTAAATGAGACATTATTTCTGGCGGGGCACCCAGTAGATGTGGACACAACCCTTTCCTGTCCCCCCTCACAGTAAGCTAGCAAACTCAAAAAAGAGCAAAGCAGGTGTGAAAAGAAGGATTTGAGTATCTTACCACCACCTACTGTGGAGAAAGTCTTTAAAAAAAAAAAACAAAAATAAATAAAAGGCAAAGCAAAGAATGCAGAGTGTAACATGAAGCTATGACGATGCCATGGGGAAAATGACCGAGTGTAAAAATGAACCATGCATTCTCCTAGAACTGCCACCTTGCAATCCCCCCAAACTCTGACCTGGAGCACAAAGGAGCCAGTCGCCAGCTGAAGCGTCCCATTACGAGCCCATCCTGAGTGGCTAAGAAGACTGTAGCCTTCTTATCTCAATAATGGGTATAGAGTCTGCTGTTGGCAACAGTTCTTTCCTGGGAGTGGAAAACTGGTTCCAAATTGCCTTTGGGATAATAATCTGCCTGGCTGTGTTGCTGCAGCTGATGGCACGGTGCAGTCTCCCTCACGCCAGAGAAGCTCCCGTGTGCATCTTAGCTCCCACTTAGGATCCTGAAGGGAAACGTCTGTGTCAGACTCAGCTCTGTGTTCTCCTGTAAACCTTGAGGTGGAACTTTACACATGGCAGGAAGCTAAATAAATATTTGTCATCATGATGAAAG